GCGCACAAGTCTACCAACTAAACTTCTAAAAGCTGAACCCCCGGGATGTGTCCACTCACAGGGGGCCAAGCGGGGAGTACCACCAAACAGAAAATATATATATAAATACCCCTAGAACAGCAAAGGGGGACCACAAAGGCAGACACCCCCACCAGGCAAAAAATTAAATAAAAAAAAAAAAACACAAGAAGACAACATACCCAGGCGGAACAGAGCCGGCCGCTGTTATTGGTGAAAACTAGCTGTGCATTATTCAGTGGCCCTACCAGTGATGAAAACTACCTCCTACCCAGGGACAAACACGGGCAACAAAACCCCAGCTGACTCCAAGGGCGGCCAAGTACCGAGCAGTAAAGGACACAGCGGAGGTAGATCTCAAGGTGACTTGTGTTAGGTGGCCCCAAGCCCCAAGGGCAGTACTTACAGGGCACCTAAGGAAGAGAGCCCCTAGGTGCATGCAGCTCGAGTACCGTGGAATAAGTCACCTGGCTCACACACCACCTGTAGAAACAGCCCACACCACAAGGCACAGAACTGAAACAAAACCTAAGCCAGGGGCACCTGAGCCGCCAGTAATCCCATCAGCCAAGAACTGTCGGTTGGATTGCTGACGCGGAGGGTCTGGGGCCCCCCCTCCCCCTCCTGGGTAGGGGGGGAGTGGTTATCTTGAGGTTATCTTGAGTTGATTTCGGGGCTTTAGTGTCCCCGCGGCCCGGTCCTTGACCAGGCCTCCACCCCCAGGAAGCAGCCCGTGACAGCTGACTAACACCCAGGTACCTATTTACTGCTAGGTAACAGGGGCATTCAGGGTGAAAGAAACTTTGCCCATTTGTTTTTGCCTCGTGCGGGAATCGAACCTGCGCCACAGAATTACGAGTCCTGCGCGCTATCCACCAGGCTACAAGGCCCCCCAGGTCTGTGGTTGCACAGACGGCGGCGCAGCGACGTGATGACGTCATGCTAGTTTGATCATTTTGCTTGGGGAGTTCTGTCCACTCGTTCGGCTTTCGGTAGCAATATTTCACCAGAATAGGGGTTTGTTTTGGGGCGTCTACCTTTCTGGGTGCCTGTCCCGGTCGATGGCAGACATAGAATGCGCCCAACCACAGGGGAGGTTTCTATAGGCCATTGCTCTTCGTGCCTCTTTGAGGGGGGGCCAGGTTCTGGCTCATGATCCCCTGGTAGGCAAGAACTCCAAGCACTTTGACTGATGCCAGAAAGTTATACATATCCATTCAACCTGCATAGCTCCGGGGAGCCGATGGGGCTCCCCGCAGAAGATTAAAGTAAATAAACCAATAAATGTAAAGAAATGTCAAGTTCTGCTGGACTATTCAGTAGCTTTGCAAGCAGTGCCACTGGGACTATCATGCAATATGTTTTTGCACCAGGCTACTGAGACATATCCAAGCATACCTGGAGCCAGGACCAAAACCTGACTCTCTTTATGAGACAAAAGGAGCAAAGGGACAGATCAGATATTAACATAAAACTGACAAAGAAAACAGCGTTGAATGTAATGAAACGTCAAATTCTGGGTGAGCCCTGGTGGCTTCCTGGAGCTACCAACTCTACTCTAAGTACTGAGTACTAGGTGCCATGAGTCGTGGAGTTCTCTGGCCTACTGGGGACCACAGCCCCAGAACTTCATCTTCTCACAGAGGTGCAGACAGCTGTGGCATTTATATATTAAGTTAATCATTTATGCCCCCACCAAGGAAAGCATCCAGAAAGGTAGGCACCCCAGAACTGACCCCAAATGGTAGAAAATTGCAAGCCATCCAAACAGAGCCCAAGAACTCCCCCCAACAAAACTAAGGTAACAAGCAAATCGTCATTAAACTGACATGCAGTTCATTCACAACCGAGGCCCTGCCCTCCCGAGCCGGCTGCCTGTTTACTAGTTTGGAGACGGAAAACAGAAGAAAAACCGTCGACCGGAGGGAGGGAGGGAGGGTGTCAGGGAGCCTCCGGGACTCACCTAGAAAATGGCGTTTCATTACATTCAATGCTGGTTTTCTGTGGGAAGCCCCGTCGGCTCCCTGGAGCTAGATACCCAAAGATAAGTAAAAGAGGGACTTACCCAGGAGGCGGCAGCACCATGTACATCATGATGAAGACAGGACAACTAGCTGCAACCGATGGCCCAAGGCCATTCAAGACCGCTGAGGGCCTGGAATGTTCACAAGAGAACAGGTGGCCCCTGTTCGACCTCCGAAACCCATGTGCCCAAATGTCACACCAAGACATGTTACAAATGTCTAATGAAATGTACAAATGCAGCGAATGTGTAGGTTGGAGGTGAAAAATGCACGAGAGAGAGCTTGCAGAACAGAGTAGAAGTGACATCCACCCAGAACGCAAGCTAGAGTGGCTCCGCCATCACCACACAATAAGAAGCAACAGTATTCAGCATAAGATGCCGGTCCTGAAAAAGCCGAGAGAAAGGACAAAACAATATGATCAGAAATGGATGACACCCTACAAAGGGAAAAGAAATGGTAAAAAGAACACCAAGATACTTGATACTGTTGCTGAGAGGAAGACCGCACTTGGGACACCATCAAAGAAGCCACCTGATCGCCATACTAAAGGTGATACATTTGGGGTAAAAACACCAAAAGCGAAAAGTGGAAGTGTAGGGCAAACCAGCAAGCTACCTCACTGACCCGACCTGCTGAAAGAGGTAGAGCCATGGAAAAACTCTTGGGTTCGGACACTGAGCAAGCAGTGCCTGAATCTAAGGCTGAGCTGGCAACCAAGGAACCAGGAGAATCACTCACCCTGGAAAGGATTCGAGCTGAGTCAGAACCTGAAGCAAAAGCTGGACTGGGGAAAAGAGGTAAAGGAACCCCCACCTCGACAAATTCAGCCAAAAAGTGTCTACTGCAAAAGATTCGCAGGCAGGAAAGGGCACCACATACACTGGGAGGCACCGAGACCAAGCCGACACAAAGAGGTCCACGTCCGGGCGCCCAAACGTCTGGTAAAGCCAACTGAAGGAGACACGGTGCAGGACTCCTTCAGTTGCCGGTGGTGCAGGAGGTAGAGCTGAGGTGAAGGCCACAAAAGGAAAAACAGGAAAGAAGAGGCTTGATCGAAGAGCCACAGCATGATTCCTGCAAACACAACAAGAGAAGCACAGCGAGGGAAGCCCAGCCTTCCAAAACAACCAACACAACCTAGGCTAGCCAAATCGGAAGCTAGGCACACCTTCTCCAGGAAATAAAAATAAAAACTTGAAACCGTCGAAAATACACCACAAACAAACAACCAGAGGCCAGAGAGAGAGACATGGCTGCCGCGATTATGCAAGCTGTGCAAAACATCATGCGCCCCAGTCAGCAACACCAACACTCCCTACCCAGGGCCAGACGAAGAGCCCAATGACCCCCGCTGAACCCCAAGGGCGAGGTTAATGAAAAGCGACACCAACCTCAATGGGAGTGCAATCCTGAACGTCCCAGGAAAGAAAACCCTGAACACGCAAGGTCAGTACCTACCAGGTGCCTAGGGAAGGGAACCCTAGATGCATGCAGTTCGAGTACTTCTTGGAACACCTGGCCACTGCACAATATATACATAGCCGGCACAAATGCAAAGGGTAAAACCCAGCAAGAGAATGAGGCTAGAGGTAACATCAGCTCTGATGGCATCAGTTGACGAACTGCCGGCATCAGCGCTTGAGACCATATGGATGGGGCAAGTGCGCTGGTTGAGTGGACATTTGCTTGTTTGTTGTTTTCTCTTGGGGGAGTTCTTAGCCTCTGTTTGGTCTTGGGTTGTAATGTTTTACCAGTTGGGGTTTGTATTGGTTTGCCTACCTTTCTGGGTGATACCCCCGGTCGATGGCAGACATGACTATACTGTACTCTCAAACAGTGGAATGTTCATAAGCCATTGCTCCCTTTGCCTCTCTGAGGGAACCAGGTTCTGGCTTGTGGTTCCCGGTAGGCATAAGGACTCCAGTAACTGATGCTCTAGACTAATATGGCAGATATCAGTTCGATAGCTGCAGGGAGCCGATGGGGCTCCCCGCAGAAAAATATTAAACAGTTCTCTTTCACAGTGTGGTAGGCAAGTTAGAACAAGTTCAATGAGAAGGCAGTGGATGGCAAAACCATCAGTACTCTAGTTTCAAAGCATCATGACAGAGTACTGAAAGATGCAATGCCACAAGCATAGTTCTCATCCTAACTAAGCTTATGTAATTACAACAAACTTCTGTATTTCTTATTCTCTACTGCAAGATCTGTTGATAAGTCTCATGTGAAACTCAGGGTAGTGGTGACTTAAGAAGAGTCAATTTGTAGAGGAGGAACCTGAACAGTGAAGAGCATGTATCTCTGGTAAGGAAGAAAAGGTGTAAATTAACTACCAGGGAATGGAACCCTGAGCCACAGTTGGAGAAAAATACAAAGCTAGGACATACAAAATGTGGGTAGCATGTTACACAATTGTGCATGAGTCAGGGGATACATTAACAAAGCAATGATCTAGGGATAACCAACACCTGTTAGCCTAAGAGTGAAGCTGAGAATGAGCCCTGTCAGTGGTTCTGTGCCCCCCCAAAGATATGACAGAGCGAGCATGTGGAGGTGTGAGCTGTTTTTGTCAAACAGTTTCTTGCTTTGCAATGCTTATTGCAATGCTTATGCTTTCTTGAGTTTTTTGGGGTGAGTTTTTGGTTGCTCTCTGGTCACAACATTCCCATCACTTCAAGTGTGTGCACCAGATTATAGAGCTGGCTGCTGGTAGACAAGGGTGGGTCACAGAGGCCTAGTGCATCTTCATAAGGAATAACTGGACCAGCACTTAACTCAGGAAGCTACTTAGAGGGCCCACCCAGATATCACCCCTCGATTGTACAGCACCACAAGCCTCACCGCATGTCTCATAATTTGTGTATCTAAAGGGACAAAAAAAATTCACAAGTTCTAATACCAATAAACATAATCATAAATGACAAGTAAACAATGTAAAATAAACAATTTCCATACCAGCTTTTCTAAGGCCAAGAGTTTTCTGCTCCTGAAGTATTGTGTGCGTCTCGCTCCATCTTTCGTTCCATTGATCTGTTAGTTCTTTCTCCTTAGCTTGTTTCTGGCTGAGAGCTGCCATTATGCTCCCTGTTTCACTGTTTGCCTGGTTGCAAATGCAAGTTTAACAATTATTGCCTTAATTAAACAAGCATCTAAATCATTCAAATTTTATTGAAATTAAATAAATAACTCAAATTTTGTTATTATTTTCAGGCTCATCTTAACTCCAAAGGTAATATAATGTAACCACATCCTTGCTGAGAAATGTGTTTATTACTCACTTTATAACTAGTGATCTAAGTAAGAAGAATAACCTTCTAATATACATTAGCCTCCAAGTATATCTGCTGACAACTGCTTTGCTGCTCTTTGCCTTATATGATTTTAAAATTACATAGCCATTACTTTAATAATTATCATATACTGTATTATCATTTCATCAACATTCTGAAAAATATAACCATGTTCCAGTCAGTTACACATTTAGAGTATACGTTGCTTGAAATATTTGAAGTGTTCCTTCCTTTATGCCCTTTACATATCTTGGTAAAATTTTGAATAAAACCACTTCTTTGTGAAAATGAAGAGCCCAAAAAAACAAAGGGTCTCCTATAATCATACCAACACAACAAATGCATCAATAGGGAACATATGACCCAACTGGCAATATATTATGTAATGAAAGAAGGGCAGATAGGTTTACATTTAAGATAGATATTCATGCATAACAATGAGCATGCATACAGAAGACCAAGTCTAAGTAATGGCAGCCTGTACAGTATTTATCAAAATACAAAAAAACAGCGTCGAATGTAATGGAACGCCATTTTCTGGGTGAGACCCTGAGGCACCCCGGAGCTATACCGGGCTGATGTGTGTGTATATATTAGACCGTGGCAACAATCAATCGAAGGAGTTCTAACCCTACCGGAGACCAGAGCCAGAACCTGGCCCCCTCAAGAGAGGCACGAGAAGCAATGGCCTAAAGACACCCCCGTGAAATTAGAAGCAGTCTTTGTCTGCCATCTACCAGGTCAGGCACCCAGAAAGATAGAAATTTCAAAACAAACTACTGCAGGCCAAAAAATTGCACACTGAAAGCCGAAAAATCAAACAGAATTCCCCAATCAAAATCGGGAAACAAACATGAAGTCACCACAACCGCCGCGCATCCGTCTGTGCAACCCCCCCTCCCCGGGAGGAGGACAGGGGCAGGGGTCCCAGACCTCCACGCCGGCAACTCTTCCCAGTACAGAGGCTGAGTATCAAAAACGTGAAAAAACGCCGACCGGAGGGAGGGAGGGAGGGAGGGATGCCGGGGAGCCTCCGGGTCTCACTCAGAAAATGGCGTTTCATTACATTCAACGCTGGTTTTCTGTGGAGAGCCCCTTCAGCTCTCCGGAGCTACCTAACCAAAAATAAGGAAAAAGGGACTCACCCAGGAGGCGGTCGTCACTCGCTCCTCAACTCAAAGTTGAGACAACTGGTCGCAACCTGCGACCCAAGACTATACATGCCCGAGAAGAACATTTACAAGGTAACGTGCAGCCAGGACCCTGATCAACCTCCCAAAGCCCCATGCCCGAAGATATGTCAGGACATATTACCAAAAGAGCAGCCGAATGCCGAACTTATGAAAGGCATGGGCACCGGGATAGAAGCAAGCTGGCAGGACCGAATAAGCCTGCGGACAACTTGGGAAAAGGGAAACAGGGTCAACCCAAAGAGCGTTCTCTGCCACAGAGGCCGTGGCGTGCAAATAACGGCGAAGAGCTACAGACAGAAAACATGATGCACTCCTGGCCGAACCAACCAAGCATCAACAACCCAAGGACCCCTTCGGAAAGCAGCAGACTCATTCTTCGCCAGAAAAGGAGAAAGCTGCAAACGAACAAAACGAACACCAGGACCGAAAGAGCAGAAGCCCCTGAGCTGGAGGAGAGCACAAAGCTCCCATACCCGACCCCCAGAGGCCAACACCACCAAGAAAAGAGCCTTAGAAAAACAGTCCTGAATCGAGGGAGCCACCACAAACCGAGGAAAAGAGAGAAAAGAGAGCACCCGGTCCAATGACCAGGACAGCTCGGACAGCGCATGAGCAGGCCGGAGGTGAAACAATGCCCGAGAAAGCTTGCGGAGCAAAGCAGAAGTGACATCTACCCCGAATGCAAGCTGCAGCGGCTCCGCCAGCGCTGTACGATATGACGCGACATTATTTGGCATAAGATAACGGTCCTGAAACAACCAAGAGAGAAAGGACAAAACAACCCAATCAGAAATCGAAGACAACCTACGAAGAGACAAAAATGCTGAAAGGACCGCCAGGAAATTTCATTCTGCCATCTAGACGAAACTTGCAGGTGGGACACCATCAACGAAGCCACCTGATCACCATAGAAGTGGTGATACACCCGCGTCAAAAAGGCCAGACGCGAAGAGTGCAGGAGAAGATCGAACCAGCCACGTACTGGACCGGACTGATCTGCTGAAAGAGCTGGAGCCGCGGGAAGACCCTCGGGTTCGGACAGCAAGCAAAAAGTGCCTGAAACCAAGGCTGGCCCAGCCACCAAGGAGCCAACAGGACTGCTCTCCCCCTGGAAAGTCTCCAACCAAGCCAGGATCCGGAGCAACAACTGGACCGGAGGGAAGAAGTATAAGAAACCCTACCTTGACCAGTCCAGCCAAAAGGTATCGACCCCAACGGTCTCGCAGTCTGAGAAGGGCGCCACATAAACTGGAAGACGCCTCGACCACGCCGATGCGAAGAGATCCACCTGTGGGCGCCCGTATGTCTGGCAGAGCCAACTGAACAAGTCGGCGTTGACCGTCCATTCCGTGGAAAGGGGAATGAACCGAGACAGGCCGTCCGCCAGGATGTTTGACACCCCCTGAACATGAACCACCAGGAGAGCCAAACCCCGAGAACTCGGCAGACGAGTCACCCGAAGCGACCTGCCCCAAAGAACCAAGGACCGCATCGAACCCCCACGGTTCAAGCAATGAACCACCGGGGAGCAGTCCAAATGGAGCCGGATCATTGCTCCTCGAGCGACCCAAATCTCTGAAGCGAATGCCACACCACCGCAAACTCCCGCGCCATGCTGTGACCTCAACGGAAGGACGGACCCCACCGACTCTGGCCGGCCTGGTGAGCACTGGTCACAAAGCCCCAGCCGAGAGATGACGCGTCCGTGAATACATCGAGCGAGGGCTCGGGTAGGCGCCCCAAGGCATTGAACCCCGAAAAACCCGAAGAGGACACCAGCCGAGAGACGAGACATTCGTGAACACATCGAGTGAGGGCTCGGGGAGGCGCCACGGCACAGAACCCCTAAAAACCAGCAGAAGAAGCCGGCAACGCAGCAGCCGATGCAAGGCTCCTGGGATCCGAACACATCAATTGCGAGAGCGGTGAAAGGGACAACCCCGAAAAAAACAGAACATCCGCCGCAGCCAGATTTGACACGATGGGTAGACCAGCATGGCAAAGTTCAGGCTCCCGTACAGCCGCTCGAACAAGACGTGTGACCCGGGTGCCCTCCAAAAACAGCCGTAGGCGGGACCGCAGCTGCAACAGCGTCGCAGGAGGGAGAGAGAAGGAAGAGGTCCGAGAGTCCCACACAAGACCCAGCCAAGTCCGAACCTGAGAGGGAACCAAATGGGACTTCCTCCAGTTCACCAAGAACCCGAACCCTGCGAGCTGGGAAAGAACCATATCCCTGGCGAGCAGACAACATGGACTGGCTGGGAGCCCACACCCGCCAGTCGTCGAGGTAAGCCAGAATCCGAACCCCTAACAGACGAAAACAGGTCACCACAACCCGGGTAAGGTGTGTGAACACTTGTGGTGCCACATTCAAGCCGAAAAGACGGCAACGAAAGCGGTAAGCTTGTTGCCCCATGACAAAACCGAGCCAGTCCCTAAACCCCAGATGAATCGGGACGTGCCAATACGCGTCTCGGAGGTCCAGAAACACCATCCAGGAATCCGGAGCCAAAAGCAGCCGAACCTGAGACAGAGTGGTCACCCGAAAGGAGGAGCAAAAGACCCAGGGATTCAGACTAGACAAGTCCAGTATGAATCGCAGATCAGCACAGTCTCGTTTTGGAACTGAAAAAAGGCGGCAAACCCACCTGAGGGACGTTATCGTTTCGACCACACCCAAGCAAACCCACTCCTGGATGACCTGACAGAGCACAGGAGAAGAGGCTTGCCCTGCCAGCCCCGATAACCCCGAAGGAGGAGTGACCCAACGCCACCGCAGACCAGAGGAAATGACCCGAAATGCCCATGAATTGTGAGACCAGGCGAGAGCAAACAGCGCGAGTCTCCCCCTGTATTGCCCCATCAACGGGGCAACCCGAGAAAGGGCCGATGACCCCCTACCAGTGCCCAACCGACGCCGAGAGCGATCACTGTGCTGACCAGACGCCGATTGCTCCAGAAGAGGTGCCGGCCCCGAATCTGGCACTACTGGCTTACTACGACCGAAGGAACCCCCGAGACCTGGGACGACCCTTCCGGGCAAAACCTCCATGGCCAGCCCCCACCTCCCCTGGAGAACTTACAAGTCTGACAAAGGCCGTCAACTAGACGAAGCCGCCTGCAGAAAATGCACCACCGCAGACTCTGCAAACAGGAAAGGACAAAAAGCAGTTGAAAATCTTAGAGCCACGGCCCAAGACGATTCCAAAATTTGGACAAGCACCGCCTGTCAGCACGCGAGGCGAGAAGTGAAGAACAAACACCGCCTCCCTCAGAATCGGCGCATACAACTTTACCAAAGCAGCCGGCACCCGAGCTGCCAAAGCAAGCCCACCAGACCCTGGCCTGGAATCCAGTTCCTCCACACCCAGCACGAGCCAGTCCAAAGATAGCTCCAGCACGGGAAAAGAAGTGCAAGACCGAAGCCAAGTGCCCACGGGTGCACAAATCCTCGGCCACCTGGGATGCCGAAAGGGAGGGAACCAGTACGTGAAGCCGCACCTGCCCGGCATCATAAGGAAGGATGGGGGCGAACAAACACGCCTTCAGGTGCTCCAACTCATCCCCCAGGAAAACTTGAACGACCGTAGGCAACTCTCGCCATCCAAGTGCGCAGT